GTTATGCAAAATAGCTTTGAAGTGCACAGGGACCACTTTCGAAAAAATGCAAAAGAGCACACGCATCAAGGATTCAAACCCTCGACCACGCATCCGTGAGCCCTACGACGTATCCACTCGGCCATGCTGCCACGATCTCGATAGCCTTACGCCGCCAATTTGTAGTGATTCTCCCCCAAAAAAGCTCCGTAACTTCTTTCTGGGAGGTCCGCAGCAGATATGGAAGACGGTTTCGTAATTCCCGTCCGAAGACCTTTCAGCCGGTATACATTTCATTTCAAATGGCCACTTCGACCTACCATCCTTCCCTTGTCAGTATTGTTTGTGTCCCAGCACTGCCCTACAATACAGTTACTCGGGGTCTGGCACTATGACGAGCAACGGTGGCCTTCTTGTAGTTGTGTGGTATCATCCATTTGTCGATCTGATTGCCGAGGAACAGGCAATATACACCGACAGCGACGATTTTATTCTCTGTATAGAGCCGCTTGAAAGCCACAGTGCAGAAATCCTTCGCTATGATGACCATCCACTTGGACCCACATTCCTCATGGTAAATTCGGCCGGCCCATATTTCATCGAGGGCTGGGCCCTTCTTTACAGTCGTGAATGACATCTTATGCGGAGAACATTACTGCCAGGCACAGGACAGAATAGGTACTGCGTCGTGGTTCTACAAGAAAATGAGGTACCCAGATACATACCTTCTTAATCATCCTTAACGCCCGGACATAACTCGGGCAGCAGTTGCAGTAGGGATGTCATTCTCGCGGGAAGCTCGACAAGGGTCCAACCTCTGTGATCAGACATTCAGCGCTTGACTCCTGCAGCCTTTTTTCTTGTGCAGGATGAACATTTTGGGACCATCCACGAATTTTTCGTTCTTTCTTCTTCGGGCTCCTGAACCAAACCTTCCACCTTGCATTTTGAGAACACCATTACACGCAACTACTGGTCCGGCACAGGTCAAATTTGAGCGGCGCACTTTCCTCTTATGACGCCCGATTAGAAAATCGTGTGTCATAAGGGGAAAGGCGCTGATTTTGACCATTCGCACGTCTTTTCACTTTCTAGAGAATTCTGCGGCTAGGTCAACGAATTTCTTAGAAACAAGCTAAATACTAGCTGCAAACGGTGTAGTAGCCCGCTGCCCGATCCCCTTTGCTTTCCTGCCATTCCTCTATATGTCTCCACATTTTTGAATGGAATGACCTAATAGTTATCACCGCTGATTAGGAGTACTCTACGGAGATTTTGCACAGACGATGTTATGGATGTGCGGAGCTTGAAAGTCCCCGAAAGACCGAGGTACTTCTTGATCTATCATATGTTATGAGTTCCTCAACGGCTGCTTTGCCATAGGCTAGGGGGCCGCCACTTACATAGTCTCCAGGATCTCGATCTCGCTTGCCACATAGGTCTCGCAGATAACAGCACTTGCAAGCTGGGTTATTTCGGCCGTTTATTCATCCCCTTAAGGTGCAGGCAAGCGTACTTTGGAAACATCTCTAGGCTGCACCTATGTGGCAGCTATCATGCTTCTCCGCGATCCCTGTCATGGGAAAGACTTTCTCGAAGGATGCCACATGAGTTGACTCAGTCCGACAAAACGCGCCGAATGGTCATGAGTGAGTATTCCTTTCTTGGTACTCATTAGAAGGACTCCTTGTGAGACGCAGTATTATTAGCGTGGGTTCCTTCCATAAACCGTGCACATAACCGTCAAAGGATATCTCAACGAGAAACGCTACCTAGTTAGCCAAAAGCAGATGTGCATGGTAAAAAAATTATCTGTTACTGTTGCGACTTCAAAGCGGGTGGCTGGATACTGCCGCATCAGTGACGCCCACAATTTACTCTGATCAACTTCGAAACATGGATGAAATCACGCTTGGCTCCACTCAAAAACCTCAAATACTACTACTCCTCGGCGATGCGAAGACCGCAAGTGGCAATGAGGCTACGCCAAAAGATTATGGATTTCAACCGGGGGATGCGACGTGTATTTATTCAGCGAACTTAGCGACCTCTACTGCTACCTGCCTTGGTCCTTACTGCGTCGAGAGCGACAATTCCGAAAATGTTTACTCAAAAATGGGGCACACTTATTCTATTCATTGTAGCTGCCGTAGATCCAGTGGGCACTTGTAATATTATCAATGGCGATTACTTTGAAGATCAGACGTGTCGTTCAGTGAAGGAAAATTTGATCCGAAGCTCTGGTCGAAGTGTTGCAGGGCACTTTTTCCAACCTGACACCACTGACTGTCACCAAGTCAATAAGAAATCGGCTTCGAGAATGTTAAGGCAGCGTTTAGATCAGCGGTCTTCGCTACGGCGTCGACGCGCCTTAATTGCAAAATGAATGCCTTCCTTATCCAGCTGTGAAAGAACCCCTCTGCACCAGTCTTCAGATAGTCAATGAAAAAAATTGTGACTGAGTGTCAAGGAAAAAAACTGTGACGAAATCAGTTCTGTGTGGCTGCGTGACGCACGTTGTGTGTAACGCCGACCTTGCATAATAAAAAGCCACGGTCACATGTGAACGCCACGCGAAATGGGCGGCGTCTGGAACGTGTTAAAAACAGGGCGAAACTGCTTCAAGATGGCTAATGCCCATCTTATAAATGATCTCGGCAATGTGGGCAAAGTTAGATAAGTGACGGTTTGTTGACACAGCTTTCAAACGCTACTTTGCCACGCTCACGATGGGAAACCTCAAAGCATCAATTCTGTAGAAAGTATTATCAGTACTGTATTCCGAGAAGCTTATAATGTTGTGCATAGTAATCATTCAAGATAGGAAAGGCACGCGATGGCGATGAAAGCGGCTCACCTTGAACTTCGCTCGAAAAACTCTTGACACATCTTCACAGAGTCCGATGCGAGCACCAGAATTACAAGAGACGTTAATACGGGGCAGCTGCAAAGGCGAATCAATTTTAAAAAGGAGAGCAGAAGGAATATGATCTTAAAGACTAAAGCTGAACCACTGGAAATAGCCCATGCCTTTCACATATTTTTCTTTATCGACCCCTATCAAACCTGCTCTAGGAAACTAGGTAAAAATGGTTACAAAGAAGACAAAAAACTAAAAAAACCACCTTATTCCTTCTACTATACTCAGAGGCCAAACTGTAAACGGTGTCTTCAGGAGTAGCGAAGGAGCCGGATTGGAAAGTGATGTCGTTTGCAATAGCTATTATGCTGTAGCCGCAGGGTTTCTCAGGGGTGAAAAGCCTAAGATAGTAAGTTAATGAATTTTCAAAATTCATGCAGTACTGCAATTCACCTTAGCTGCCAGGCGACCATGCCTGTTTCGTTGTTGCAGTTGTCTGCGCGTTGCTTGAGCTCTTCCCTATCCGAAATGCGCACTATCCGCTCGTTCTTGAAAAATTTCTGTTACAAACTTATGGTGGAAGAGTCACTGAGAGCGACCACCAACATTGTTCTCATTAATACCGGATAGTCAACTGCATTGTTAATCGATGCTACGTCCTCGTCTCTACCAGCAGAATGAACTTAGTAACTCATGAAACAAACAGAATAGACAACATCTGTTCTAATGGGACAAAACTGAGAGCTCTGTCTTCACAAAATTAGTCCCCACAAGTTTACCATTGGTGAAATGAGGCTTCCTATTGGCCTCCATCTAGATAGGAGAGTGCAAAAGAGTGTATCACTCACATAACACATACAAGATACTATGTCACATTCGCCTGCTCCTGTTCTTCCCGTTAAATGCTGTTTCCACAGTCTCTTCCTCGGAAAAAGGTTTTCGTTTTTCTCTGCATTTCATTGTTTCCTGGCGCAAAACGTCAAATTGCAATTTATTGAGAGACACAGCGACATTCCTGTGGGAAAGGCCTCAGAATCAAAGAAATTTTCGAACACTCACAAATCACACTTTACCTCAGTATAACGAAAGTAATAGCGTCCTGAGTGTATAAGAGTGCTATGTCGAATCAAAGCACCCCGATACCCACAAACACTGACAAAACCGAAGATGAGTTCGGTGACCTTACCGTTCTAACTCCCCTATCAATCTTATCAGCTGATATCACTCCCTGTCACCCATCAATAATGTTCCTGTCCCACACCCTATACCATACCTTGGAATCAACTTCCCACTGTTGCTGTGTCCCGCACTATGGACTCGGTGACCCTTCCCTTCAGACGCCTCTTATCGGATCTTATCAGCTGATCACTCCCTGTCACCCATCAATAATGTTCCTGTCCCACACCCTATACCATACCTTGGAATCAACTTCCCACTGTTGCTGTGTCCCGCACTATGGACTCGGTGACCCTTCCCTTCAGACGCCTCTTATCGGATCTTATCAGCTGATATCACTCCCTGTCACCCAGCCAATAATGTTCCCGTCACAGCCTCCATATCACTGCTTGGAATCAACTTCCTATAGCTACTGGGACCGGCGCTATGAATTTCGTGACAGACAGACAGACGCACACACAGACACACACACGGACATAGCCGATTATTTATAGTAGGATAGTGGAATGAGTTCATTTTCTAGCGCTATCATAGAAGTGATGGCTAAAGGAAAATTTTGCACACTGAGCCTTCAATACTTGGCAGTATAGTGATAAGAGATGTAATAAGAACGGCGCCTTATCTTTCTTATCAATTGATAAGATTGCCTGTCACCCGTCAACAATGTCCCTTTCACTAACACTCTATAATTTGGTAGTGTAAAGGCTCCTTCACTTTGACTGAGCAACAACGGCAGCGTTCTTTATCAGCCCCTATCAACAGTTATCACGTCCTGTCACCTGCTGTCGATGTCCCCATCCCCCATCTACATCATTTTCTGAAATCAACGCCTAGCTGATGCTGTGTCCTGCGTTATGAGTATGGTGACCTTGCCGTTCTAACTCCCCCTATCGAATCTTATCAGCTAATATCACTCCCTGTCACCCATCAATAATGTTCCTGTCCCACACCCTACACCATACCTTGGAATCAACTTCCCACTGTTGCTGTGTCCCGCACTATGGACTCGGTGACCCTCCCTTCTGACGCCTCTTATCGGATCTTATCAGCTGATATCACTCCCTGTCACCCACCAATAATGTTCCCGTCACAGCCTCTATATCACTGCTTGGAATCAACTTCCTACAGCTACTGGGACCGGCGCTATGAATTTCGTGACAGACAGACAGACGCACACACAGACACACGCACGGACATAGCCGATTATATATAGTAGGATGGGAGACGATCACTGCTCCATGCTATATTCTTCGTTTCCAAAAGCCTCACAGATGCAGAGCAGAACTATCATATAAGGGACTTGGAGGCACTAGGCGTGCTGTTCGTCCTAAAAAATATTCCACTTCTTCGTCTATGGATTGAATGTGGTGGTTCGAACAGATCACCAGCCACTTATATGTCTGTTCAAAAGGACAAACATTTCGGCAAGGGTTTTGCGATGGGCCCTGGAAGTCCAAAATTACCGCTGAAGATAGAATATGTGGCCGGGAAAAGCCAACGCAGTGGTGGATACCCTATTGCGCAGCGCTGTAATTTCATCAGAAAGCAACGACTCCAGTAAAGATCAGAAGGTCAGTGTAGTTATCTGCTAGGTGACAGCGGAAGGTGGCGAATGGCTCAAGGAACTGAGAGAGGATGACGATTATAGGGAGATCCTCAACAGTATCAACGTAGGTAACGATTACAAAGACGTGAGACTGCCCAGATGCTCCCGAAGATTTCGTGTGGCCGACTTTTTTGTAGATGATGGAGAACTGAAATTGATAGTAGAAAGCTCAACATTAAGGGGGTGCCTAAATCTAAAAGAAGGGAGTTGTTCGATTAAGCGCACGGAGGTTTGTTAGCGGGGCACCTTGCAAGTTGTATAGCAAGCTCAAAAAGGTTGTTCTGGGAAGGCATGGAGCTGACCTCTCAAAGCGGTCCAGAGAATGTTCGAGTTGTTTTCTGTCTCGCAACCACGAAAGCAGATGCTACCTTCGAAAACATTCACTCCCTATGAATTGATTCGGATAGAATTGGTAGAGTATAGTTTGACAGAGAGGGGGAACAAGTGTGCCTCAGTAGTTACAGACCACTTTTCAAAGTTTGCTGGAGCGTAGCTCGAATAATGTTTGAACGGTGGATCTGGGAAGGTTGCAGATGGCCTAAGCGCATCCATTCTGACCAAGGTCCCGAATTCGTCAATTCTATCTTGTCAGGTATATGCGAGATTACGGGTATTGAGCAGTCAACGACAAAAGGCTATAATGCTAGGGAAAACGGGATGATTGTAAGAGTTATTAGCACGCTAAGTAGAATGCAGAGAAAAAAACTATCACCCCCGCTGACAGATCTACTTTCCATGGCAGTTTTCGTTACAACTGGAAGCCGTGATGCAGCGGCTGAAAACCTGTTTTACCATGAGAAACAAAAACACGAACAGTTAGACCTATGCATGCAGATGTAAACCACATTTCTTGCAGGGCCACTCTCGATGGTGATGGAAACAACGAGGCGCTTGGAATCTTTTTCCGATGCCCTGGCAGAATTCACAGTCAAGATCGTAGCTCGAGTGACGTTAAAGACAGCCCCCGCGCTCAAGTAGTACATGGTCGTCCTTCCTTGGCAGGTAGTTCAGCCCCCAAGCTAGATACTGTCTCACTCTCGCGACTCCTCAGCGAGCGAGGAGCGAGCTAGAACCGCTCAAAGTTCTAGTTCTAACGCCTGCTCAGTTGGACCGCCTCACTAGCTAGCTGCCCTCTGACGGAGAGCCGCTCAGTTGTTCCTTGTTGGGATGGAACTAATTACTCGGAACT